AGACCCAGGACACGCTGGAGGGACTATGTCTCTCAGCTGGCCTGGGAACGCCTCGGCATTCCCCCGGAAGAGCTGGAGGAAGTGTCTGGAGAGAGGGAAGTCTGGGCATCTTTGCTTAGACTGCTGCCCCTGCGACCCGGTCCCGGATAAGCGGAGGAAAATGGATGGATGGATGGATGGACCCCTGACCCCGGCACCACAGGTAGAGTCTTGAACAATCAGTGTTGTAAGTAAGGCCAAAATCTGATATACACACTACTTGTCCTACAGTACATAATGATAATTATATAACTAAGTAAGTTGGCTTTAAGAGGTCTGCAGACATAATTTTTTGGTTGTGGTTAAACATTAAGTTTATTGTTTCTTTTATTTTGCACTTTATCTTCTTTTGTCTTTCTTCTGTTCTTTAAGTTTGCATTTTAATAGTTTTATATATGTATGCATTATGTAAAGAAATTTGAATTGCTTTTGTCTATGAAAATGTGCTTTGCCTTTTTCTGATTTATTTTGATCCCACCTGCTCCATGTGTGGGACCTGTGGCATCTGTGGTGAGGTGCCTCACTCTGAGCTGTCACACCAGAACTGTATCTGAAATGTCGTGTCAGTGACTCTTCAACATTCAAAATGTTTCCCACATTGGCAATACAGAAAATAATAGAAGCCAATGGCTTTCTGTCTTCAGCTGTGATTAGCCATTGTCCCCAACACACACACACACACACACACACACACACATTCCTCTATTCTAACCACACAGTAGAGGCGTGTCTGGACATGTGCTCCCTTGCAGAAGGTTTTGGTTAACAGAAGCACTGCTGATAGATCTAATCAACCCTTCAGTCGCACCTAATGTCACTTTTTCTTTCATTTAAAAAATTCTTTCAAGGCTGCATATGGCTGAGACTACTGTACTTCTTTGACCCAGTCCTCACATTTGATGCATTCCTTTTAATTTTAATTTATTGAACTATGTTAACTGTGTGTCTGTGTTATTGTGCTGTTTTATTTTTATTTGCACTGATCTTATTTACTCTATTTTAGTCATTTATTGTGATTTTATTCTGCCATGTAAAGTACTTTGGTCAGCTGGATGTTGGTTTTCAAGTGCTATATAATTAAATTTGATTTGATTTGATTTGATTTGATTTGATCTAGTAGCCTCACTCACCTCCTGACTGGTGAAACACCCTTTTGCCATTTCTAATAACTAATTTCTTTCAAAGAAGTGCAGGTGTAAAGTACAGTAAAAAAAAAAAGCTTGAATTCTTTTTTGGCCTTCTGTCAGTGAAGAATGAGATCCAAAATGACCAAACTACTTATCAATATTCCTAGTGAAGGCAAAGGTGATGATGGTGTCAATTCCAGCTCACCAGATGTGATGCCATCCAACATTTATACCCCCCGAGCCCCAACATTCTAAATTGTATTCAGGAAATTAGAGTAGATAAAATAAAGTGCATCATTGCATTGCTTTATGGAAACAAGTGCTGAGCAATGGGTATGATTTCAAACCCTGAAATGTGAGCTAGAAGGAGAGGACTGATTAAACAACACAGTACCACATAATGCAGGGAAAACCTGGAATAAATTTCTGTGTATACTAACCTAATGCCTTGCAGATCACTATATAAAAAAATTCTGTCTCTTATACAAAATACCTTCAAGGTTATCTTCAAGGTTAATGATACCTAAGCAACAGTAGTAGCACATAGAGAGACAGTCACGTTAATTCTACGTTCTTTTCTGCTTCTGAATTTACTATGTGACATGCTCCAGGAAAACGTAGCACTGACCATCTGGGGCACATTATAAAGCAACAGCCTGTAGTGTATGTTTAACCTTTCAGGAAAACAACCTTTTCTTTGTCATAACTCAACCTCATCTATTTACTATATATAAGACTCACAGAGGTCAAAGTCCATGCCAAATTGTCACATTTAACATTAAAATGGGTCATCAAATAATTCTGAATGGTTTCTATCTGATACGTGTGTGAATAGTGCAGCTGGGAATGAACACACAGCAAATAAGTAAATGAGCGTGTGTGTGACATTAAATGCACTCTGCAGCTGCAGCCGAGGCCCTGCTGCCACTTGATTACAGAGTACAGTTCTCTCTCCCTGTGTGAAAGGTTGCAGTAGCAGATGATTAGAACCATCTGCCTCACTGTAACACAGAACTGTAAATTAACACTGTTACAGTTGTCCAAATCCATTCAGTGACCTATATATTCTGAAATTACAAGAGTCTAATTGTGCTGTTAAAGCCATAAGCATAATTTGCATTTAAATGTACTGAGTAAACAAACTCATTCATTAGCTCTCTATAAAAGGAGGAAAATATGCTGAGGTGCCAGTTTATATCAGTGTGTGCTCAATGTGCCACACCCTCTGACTACGTAGCTAGACATGAGACAGCTTCCCCCAGCTTTGTCTCTCTGCTACTGGCTCGCTTATGTCAGTATGGAGAAAGAATTAAAAAGCACAGCTGGGACGATCACAGCATGCCAATGCACGGTTCCAATAAACTCTTTCCTGTTGTCTCTCATGCAGGACAAGTACAAACACAAAGTGTGGGTGTGCATTGCTCACATGGGGACGCATATGCATATGCACACAGGTACAGTAGACTATAAGAGTCATTTGTTAAAAGTCACTCATATTGAATTAACACAGATGCACCAAACGTGGCTCCATCATTGTCTCATCTCCTAGTCTGGAAACAATTTCTAATCTGCGGCCAGCCTCAGCCCATTTCCACCCAATCCCCTTATCCCATGAAGTCAAGCCTTAGTAACCAGTGAGTATCAGAGTACACAAACTATTACCTCACAGGGAAAGACAGAGTCACTTGGCTTCTGCTCAGCATGGGGCTCTATACCATTAGCTGCAGGCCGTTAATCTTAACTTTGCTCCTGTCAGGCTGCATGTGACCATGGTGGCTTTCCAAAAGCCCTCCATGCCAGAGTGAGTCAGTAGGTATATAAGGACAGGCAACACCCCATGAAGAGAGAGAATACATCGCTCATATGGTCAATAAAAGCTATATATCACAGAACAATGACTGAGCTGGTCTGAGCTCAGCCAGTGATTTTTATATGATGCAGACAGTGAGGTCATATGTAAACATACTGTACATGCACTGTAGAGAAACAGACACCTGTGACATCACTAGCTAACAGGAGATATTTCAATGTTTGAATAAAAAAAGTATCATCTCCTCCCAAGGAGAAACTATTCTCCCACAGATGAGTCATTTCCTCCTGTCTTGGAAAAGGACAGCATAGGCATCTTGCAGGGCTGCTGAGAGCACATTAAATATCATTCAATACATATCAAAGCTTCACCAGAGCAGTGGCTCTATTCTAGTATTTCATAGCTTGCAGTTGCA